TTTCTTAACTTTTTCCCATTAAAAGCCAAAGTCCAAATGGGCAACAGGTTTCAGGCGATTGGCTTTATCCTCCCCTTCACTCAGCCAGTTCACCTGCACTTTAAGAGTATGCTAGAGAAGATCTAACAGAAAGTGGGCATCTAGAGTGTAGTGAGGCTCCATGCTGAGTACTTTCATATACACCAGCCTCTCTCCAGCCACTCTTCAACAAAGGCACCAACATCCTCACACAGGTAAGGAGCTGAGCCTTACATTTTAACACCAGGAACACTATACTATTTGGAAAGCATTCATACTGGTGATTTGTCCTTTTACCAGGCCCTCAAGTATCTTTATAACTGTATTATCCACCCTTCTGCCAAGGCTCTGACTGCTACATTAGAAAATAATATATGGGGGCTAGAGAGATGGCTCAGAGGTTAAGAGCATGGACTGTTCTTGGAAAAGGATCAGAGTTTGATCCCCAGCACCTGCATCACGCAGTTCCCAACAACCAGCTCCAGAAGAATCCAACCCTCTGGCTTCAGTGGGCACTGGCATCCAAGAGCACATACCCATACACAGACCCACACACGTAATTAAAATTTTTAAATCTTTTTAAAAGGATAATAAAAGACAAAAGCTCTCCTCCTTCGGAATTCCACTCAATTTCCAATATATGAAAGGGCCTCCTCCCTCCCTCCTACTCCAACGTCTCCATCCTTCGCAGTCTGCCTAGTCTTCCACTGTCTCTCTGAGCACTCTACCACACAACAGGCCGACTCTGCCATTACTGCTGCTGTGCCCAGTCGAGTGTGACCTCAGGACCTGTTCTTATGGTTCTGACTGTTCAGCTTTTCAATAGGGGCATCCTAGGAAGGCAATAAATTCACCAATTTAGAGAAGTCTAACTGGAAACAACATTCGAGGTCACATCAAGTCCTTATTTCAGGCTGACAGAGAGGAGTCTTTTTCATAGTTACACAGCAGCAAAGTCTAGAATTTAGATTCTTTCTACTACAATATGGTGCTAAGCCTGTATTAGCTAGTAGATAATTAATATGCTGATGACCACCCCAAGATTTATGAGTTATTTGTTTCTTATCCAATACTAGGCTCTGTGCCTAGATGAATCCCTGACATACAGTAATGGCTGAACAAAAATATTTTTCTTGAACCTGGAACTAAGGAAGACAAAATCCTTAAAAGTTAATTTATCAGAACACAGAGGATCCAGAATAATATCTCTTTATTCGCATAAAAAAGTATAGTTTTCAAAGTCCTTTTATGTATCTGAGCCCATTTCACCCCTGAGTTAGATATGAAAGGAATTACCAGTCCAATAACAATCCCAGCAAACTGTTATATTAAAGGCCAGACTCCTGAACAGTGTGTGTCAGAGCTGAGGCCTTCTTGCTTCTGCGCCAGTCCAAACATTCACAGTGAACAGGTATGCCACACTCTTAGGCTAAAGGAAGTGATTCTATCTTTTAAAAATCCACCAGTTCAGATCTTCTAACCTGAAATTTTCCTGTTTTTTGTTTTGTTTTGTTTTGTTTAAAATTTTATCAAGGGTCCTTTCCATGAATGGTCCTTGGAGTATCAGTCTCTGCAGGGCCCCTGTTCAGAGGAAGCCCATAGGCTTCTCAGTTTCTAAGTGGGTTACCTAGTAAAGGGGTACAGTGGCTGGCTCTTTGATCACCTTCCCCTGGAGGGGTGCAGCCTTGCCAGGCCACAGAGGAAAATGATGCAGACAGCCTTTGATGAGACCTGATAGGCTAGGGTCAGAGAGAAGGGGAGGAGGTCCTCCCTTATCGGGGGACTAGGGAAAGGGCATAGGGGGAAAAGAGGGAAGGTGGGTGGGATTGGAAGGAGCTGAGGGAGGGGGATACAGTGGGGATACAAAGTGAATAAACTGTAATAAAAAATAAATAAAATTTAAAAACTGTATCAAGGGGCTGGAGAGATGCCTCAGTGGTTAAGAGCACTGGCTGCTCTTCCAGGGGCATTGGATTCCAGCAGCCACCCCTACCCACACAGGGCAGCTCATAGCTGTCTATTAACTACAGCCTCAGGGGATCTAATGGTCCCTTCTGGCCTTTAAGAGCTCCAAGCACATTTTATACTTGTGATCCTAGCAGCAAGGAAGCAGAGGCAGGAGGATCAGTACAAGTTCCAGGGCAGTCTGGTCTACACAATGATTGATATATATTATCAATATATATATATAGCTATACAATGGGGGAGGGGAGAGACAGAGAGACAGAGCCAGGGAGGGAGGGGGAGAAAGGAAGCAATGTCTCTCTCAGTAGTTCCCCAGGTCCATAAACAAACAACTATTTATTCACATTTAGAAAGTCTGTTCGTGGTAGAGTTTAATTTTTCCTGCCAGGTAGGCATTCAAAAGAAGCCAGTGATAGCAAATGACCGAGAATCTTAACAGTCTTGGGGAAGTGGGCAAACTCCCATAGTTAACAGGAATACGATATAGCTGGGGGACTTGGAGATAATGTTTTATGGAATAACTGGACAAATGTGTGCCCTCTGGGAGTTATCGGACAGGATAAAGGCTCTCTTTGGATGTATCAGGACAAACGTCTCTGGGAGCGCCGGGCAAACCTGTATATTCAAAGAATACTGAAAGAGCGGTAAACTCGGGAAGTACTACCACAGCTCTCAACCAAGTAGGAGGATGACTAACCACCCGGCAGGTAGTTAACGTAAGATAAGGTCTCCAAGTCAGTCAGGAAGAAAGCCGTGACTTCTCCTCGGGCGCCCTCTGCTTACCTCACAGGCTTCTACTCCAGCAACCTCCATCTTAACGCATCTTTCTGCGCAGGTGCCACACAGCCACAGCTTCCGTCCAGGGCTGGCCCCTCCCACCCCCGTGCCCGTCTTCAGCCACGCCCCTTTCTGCAGCCCTCTCCTCTACCAGGATACTGTTTAAGCATCCTAGAGATGAAAGTCTGTCTTTGAAGTACTTGAGTCCTAAATCCCTGAGGTGGCTGAGGCCAGAGATGAAATCCTCAGATCCTTCCAGGAGCTGACTACACACGCTGTTGAGGGGAGACAGAGTAACAAGGGAGAGTGCTGCCCAGAGTTGGTAGCGTCCCTGTGGCTTCCCAGAGGTGACAGGTTAAAAAGTAGTGGAAAGGGTGGCTGGACATTCCAACAAGGACACAAGAATGTAAAAAGCGCAGAGGGGCAAGAGCGCACAAGCAGGTAGGGAACTGTGAGGACAATAATTCAAGTGGATAGCTTCGGGATTGTGTGTGGGTAGGTGGTGGGTGTGTCCTCCCAGAAAGTGTTTCAGCTTAGGAGTCATGGGTGACTGCTTAGTAGCATTTAACTGATGGGGAAAGAGGAGGGACCCAGAGGGTTGGCTCAGTGGTTAAGAGCACTTGTTCTTACAGAGATCCTGGGTTCAATTCCAAACATCCATATGGCAGCTGTAACCACCCAAAACTCCAGTTCCAGGATCAGATGCCTTCCTTTGACCTCTGTGAGGATCAGACACCCAGGTGGTACACAGGCATACATGCGGGCAAAACACCCCCCCACACACAATAAATAAGTAGAACAAAATTTTTAAGTACTTTTTAAAAAGGAGAGAGGCTGGGCTTTATCAGTGATCCAGAGGAGGTAAAATTAAAAACACTATTATGAGACTAGGAGTTAGAGTCTCTGAGAGCCAAACAGATGAGAGGGGCCATGACTAAGTAATAAAGACCTTGAACTTTCAAGATGTCTGGATTCTTCACCCTCTTGAGACAAAAGCCTGGCGCTTTTTAAAAGGCCATAACCCTTCTCCCTTTCTTTACCCATCCTGCCAATGGAGGCCCTACTGATGGAGTGGTTCAAAAAGCTCAAGGTCAAATAAGGACATGTTTAGGCACAGCTGTAGGCCAACCAGCTGTCCTTCCTTTCTTCAAACTCAACAGCCCTAAATCAGGGGAGAAAGATCCTTTACACTTCACAAGTTTAGAAGCAGAGCTTCCATTTTGCAAGAGGGTTTGTCTGTGTGTGTGCCTGCTATATGGCAATGTTTTCTCACTAATAATAAAAGGCTTTCTTCCAACTGCTGAATCTGTCTGCTCCCATTTGCTGTGTTTGCAATTTTTCTAAAGCTACCTGTCTATCATGGTTGAGATTTTTCTCCCTGCCTTTTAATTCCTTAACTGCCAGAGAAAATGAACACAATCAACCCTTAACCCTTAATTGGTGGTAGTGGGACTAGAAAACAGATAATAGATTCATAGGAATATTTCATTTTTAAACATAGCCTATAAAATGTGAGCCACTCTGGCCAGCCCTAGGGGCAATTTTGATGCAGAAATGACAGGTGGTGGCTGTTTTAAAAGGGAAGCAGGGAGAAGCTTGAAAATGACTTGGCAACTGAACAAAAATGGATCTATTAAGCAAGCAATGGAAGTGGAGCTGGTGCTGATTGCAGTCTGAAGGAGTATGTGAGGCCTACATTTCTTGTGTCACCTTGTCTGATACCAGCAAGCCTTATTTTAACCTTCCTTTTTCTAACCACAGCTTATCTTCCTTGAGAAGAACTGGGACGAAATGCTTGACCTGTGCCGCCTATAGCAGCCTCAGCGCTGTGCTACTTTCTGTATTTCTCCTCAGTACACGTCTGCCTTGTTTCACAGCACAGGCTATGGTCTGTCCTGGTGATCTTAGACAAGGAAGAAGTATGGGCTACTTTTTAGTGACATATGCCATCTCCTTCTCTTCTGGGCCTTTTGCAAGAAGGTGATATCCTAGGTAGCAAGACTTGATCAGACTTGGTTTTCTCGGTCAAAACCAAAATGATTCCACTTAGTGACTACCGAGTCAGCGCTCATCCTAGCCACCTTAGGTTCCACCACTTGGCTATTCATGGAGTAGGGCTCGGGGGCTGGGGGCTGGGAGCTGGGGGCTGGGTTGTAGCCAGGAGTTATTGCTTCTAAAGCTATCATTAAATATGATAAACATTTTTACAGTTTTCCACATCTTCACAGAATTCCAGACTCTAAAGGTGCTATGAGATAATTTATTACAGTCTAGCCTAAAATTTATTGTAACAATGGCACATATAGCAACTAAAAACAGTGATGATGCTTGGTGTCTTCGTGCATTGACTGGTGCACTGTGCAAATGTTGAGTGCTCAGCAATTTCAGGAGGCTACTGTCAGGAAATCCAAGGACCAAGTCACATTTCCGAGCAAGGGTCCGGGAATATCATCTGGCCCACCGACAGGGTCTGTCTCTGACCTTCTGGACAGCATTTGACGTCCCCTCCATCCAGAGGACTGACCAACCTGGGGGAATAGCAGCTGACCCCAAAGAGGAAGGCCAAAGACTAGATGTTTTCTGTAAGGAGGACAGCCAGAAGGTTGTAGTCACAGGTGACAACTCTTTTTAGACCGTTTTCCACAATTTTTGGCTTTGTTCAAAGACTATTCAAGAAAACTCTGTGTGTGTCCTAAGCATCCCTCCTTGCTCACAGGAAGAGAGAATTTGGGAGTACTCTGGGCTGGTGAGACCCCTGGTGCCTGGATTCCAAAGAAATGCTCTCTGCTCTCAGGGTTCCAAAGCACCATGTGAACCTGCTTTGACACATGACAGATATTCTGAGCAAAGGAAGTATCTCAGCTCCTTTGCAGGAGGCATCTTGTTCAGTTTCCAAGTCCCATTCTGATTGGCGCCACACAAACCAGTCTTGCTGCTCAAGTGACAATGAATTCCATTCTGTGTCTTCTTGCTCTGGCCAATCTCCATGGAGTCAGCCAGGTACAAGCTCCAGTCCTTCTAAACAAGTTCTAATGATGAGCATCTAAGTGTCAAACTGGACAAAGTGTGGTTTAGAGAAAGGTACAAGTGGCAAGTGGAGTGGACCGTTGTCTACCAAGAATAGCTGACACTCTTGGAAATGCCTGTCCCTCTCTATTTATGGGAAGACCTACCTATGAAGGAGATCCCACAGCCCAACTCCTAGCACCACAGACCTACCGGTTAGGGATTCAGGACTTTTCTCTGAAAAGCCATAGTCTTACTACCCCAAGATTCTCCTTAGATATCCTTAACTGGGAGAGCCCACCTTCAGACTACGAGGACTCTATGCTGAAGGTCTGTGCAGTTGGATGCTGTCTGGTTGGCACACAAGCCAGAGATTTTCAACTCCCTTCCTCTGTGGAACGAGACTCTGATTTGAGCTTCACGAACTCCCGGGCTACCTCATCATTGCTCCTCTGAGACAGAATCCGGAGAATGGTCATGCCTGTCTCATCCATGTGGATCTTCCGGCCCAGCGGGCACCAGCAGGCACAGCTGCCCTTGGCTGCCACATCCCTCAGAGGCATCACTGCCAGTCCTATCACATGATCCTCCCGGGCAAAGCAGTAATCCTTCACACAGATCTGCAGCTCATAGGCCTCTGGACCTTCTTCATTTCCCAGGAGGCTATGAGCACAGGATAGAGGATAAAAAAGCAGAAATGAACATTTTCTGCTGAATTCATCTAAGTTTGACATGTAAATCATCCATCTACTCCCAGTCTCTTCAGCCTTACCCCAGCACTCCCCAATTCCAGAGCTCTGTAGGTTTCCTACTCTATAACTTACAAGTGAAATGTCTCATTGTACTTGGGAGTCCAGTTGTTGCTTTTAGACTTGGTTGTGAATTTCCTCTTCTTATCACCTTGGTGTGGGCCAACCATGGTCACTTCCACAAAAGGCCGGAACATACCTGCTGTCTGCCACTTGAGGTCATTGGCTGCTACCACTGCCCAAACAAGGGAGAAGTGTGAGCATTTCCATGTTCCCCTTGGGAAGGACTGGGCTGGAGCACTGGGATGGGCAGCCCCTGCTTTTAAGGGATGAATGGCCAAGGTCAAGAAAGTGTCAACAGCACTTACCTTTCACTGTGACCTTATGCTCCCCAGTGCCAGGATGTGTAAACAAGTCCACCTGAATAGACACTTCTCCCACAGGATCATCCACACCGGCCCCTGAGAGACAGACAGATGACTGCCCACCGGAGAACTAGATTCCAGGACAAATGAGGGTTTAAAATGGCCCACCTCACACCCTACCCTGAAGCAAGAAGGAATCATCCACAGTAGTCATGGGGAAGTAACAGATGAAAGAAGGAACAAAAGGAAGAGAAAGAATGAGGCAGTGCACTATAACACAGAATAAGATGGCAGCATCTTGGGAGAAAATTAGAAAATGCACTGAGAATTCTCTCCCTCCTTCCTCCTTCTCTTTGCCTTTTGCTCTTACTCCCTAAGTAGTGCAGGCTAGACCTGAACTTGAGTGCCTCCTGCTTCAGCATCTTGATTTCTCAAATTATAGGCATGCACTACTGTGCCCTGACTTATGCTATCTCTGAATGCTCTAGGCAAGAGAAGAAGCAAACTTATTCTTATCCTTGGGATTTCTGGGTATACTTGCTTGGGAGGCCTTCTTTGAACTATTTCAATCCATACAACAATTCTCCAGTCACAGTCTTTGAAGAGAGTCAGTCATACACTGCCAAGGTCTAAGATCTAGCATAAAGCTCCTCAGCTTCTAACAGCTGGTCCCCAGCAGACAGGTTACGGTAATTCACAGGGGCAGTCAGGGTTGGATTCATGTCTGCATAATGTAAAGGAACATACCCTTTTCTGGCCGAATGTCCTCGTTAGCAGTAAACCTAATACCTTTCCCATCATGTACTGAGCGAGGACAGGAAGTCAAGAGGTGAGCAGCAGGAGAATAGACAAAGAAGAGTGGTTAGAGGTCAAAGATTTACAGCCATTTGAGAGAGTTCATAGACATTCTGAGGAAGCTCAGACTGGGACAGGATGCAGAAGCCCAAGACCCAAGGTCAACGCCTTCGTGTTCCATATTAGCCTCCTCAGATTGGAGAGCAACAAAATCATGACAAAACAGTAGAAAATGTAGACAGAAAGTACCTAAGGCCAACAGGGCAAGGGAGACATGGCAGGTTATGATTTCCTAGCCCCTTAGGTGACAGCAGACAAAATCATGCATACGTAGTCTCCCTATGGTATAGCCCTGCTAGTACTTCAGGCCCCTTCTTCACTGTTACTACCTATAGCTCAGTGCTTCCAAAATGCCTTTCTGGATTCACTCAGAACCTCCCTGATATTACAAGCTTGACATGTCCTCAGCTCTCCAAAAGTTCTCCCCATCCTCTTCAGCCATCCCCACACCTGCTTCTCTTGTTTTGTCCTGCAGACCCTGGACTAAGGACAGCTATAGAAAATGGAGCAGTAATGTACAATCCTTCCATTTCCTCTCCTCCAGTCACGTCTAGTCTTAACTGCCTAGACGTCCCCCTTCTGGTCCAGCCACATCCACAGCAGTGAGTCAACCTCCCACTCCTGCTGTGCCATCAGGCTCACAGTGCTGGCTGGCTGCCTGAGTCAGTGCCTGCAGGTGCCTCCTGGAAGGATCCTGCTTCGGGACCAGGTCTGAATTAGAGGATAAGCCTCTCTTTGCAGATGTGCTTTGGTTTGAACAGGCATAACCATGAGTAAGAAGTAGTTTCGGGGCTGAAAATTCCCAAGACAAAAATCTGTCCTTCCCCCCAAAACAAGCCAACCCAGCTGTCTGGTCCCCAGTGCATAAGCATCATTCTTGAGCTACAGCCTCTGCTATGTACACCCTTCAGCTGTCCATGCTTTGCCTTAGTCTTCTTTTTATCCATGCTGTAGGGTCTGGGGAGCCCTTTGCTCTTTCTCTCCAAAACACCACCAGGTAAAGCTCTAAGGCTCCACGTGTATCCTACCATTCCCTGTCAAAGCTTCCTCACAAACATTTCTTCCTTCTTCAACATTATGAATCGGAGCCCAGTAAATGTGCACTGGGAAGGAAATTTCCAGGGACAAGAATAAAGAAATCCCAGACACATTTTCAAAGCCCCCATGACTCTCATTCTCCTGCCTAGTATAGGTATATGCCTGGGTAAGTACTGAAGATAAGGATTTAATGTTGAGATTCAAGCTTGAAGGAGAAATCGGATCCTCTCCACAGGCTAAATAATAGTAATTCCCTACAGGCACTGTATGTGGGAGGGGAGGTGGGAACACATAGCCTGTAGGCTCTTACCCTGGGCAGTTTGTGAACGCACAAATGTCTTGATGAGCGTGTCTGTTGTCTGTGTATAAAGAGACAGGGCATAACGCAGAGACTGCAGGTCTGGGCTCTTTTCCAGAAAGGTTTTCTTCAAACCATTGCCTCCTGCATGGAAGTATTGCTGAAAGATAAATGAGCACCTGCTTTATCCCCTCACAGAGGCAGCTCCCCAATTGGCCTTTGACAAACTGTGATCAGCAGCGCCCACAGAGCCAGCCACAGCCCTTCAGCATCACTTGGGGCAGATTCTGTTTGAGGGGCAGGTGCTATTTGAAGAAAGGACTCATCTAGTTGGGCAGGTATGAGATAAAAGCATTTTAGGTAGAGAGAAGAGCCAAAAGTAGGGAACTCGACACCTCAGATGCCTAAGTCACAGTTCACATGCACCTGACATGTTATCACCTGACCACTCTTGTGTCTTGGACTTGGAATCATTTCTCTTTCTGTCTCTATCCCTAAAACTGCCTAGGCCTTGTTCTTTGGATGTGGAAAGCTAAGAGCCTGACAGCTAGTCTGGCAGGGCGAAACACCAAGGACAAGTGTGCACAGGAGAGTCTAGAAAAGGGGAAAGTCTCCACCTTGATGGTGTCCAAGGCCAGGTCGAGGACGGCACACTGCTTTGGAGTGAGATTCCTTGTTTCCTCTCGTACCATGTGGTCCTGGAATCCCAGAGAAAGCAGTAGTAGGAGAGCCCAGACAGTCATAAATGCAGTGCCCCCTCAGCCAGTTCAAAAATAGGACCCACAGTAGTCACTATCGCCCCTCCTTTAAGCCCGAGGCACCCCCCCACACACACACACTGCAGCCTCATGGACCCCACATCCCGAGAACCTTGAGTTTGGAAAGCTGGCTCAGCTCCTTGGCAGCAGTTAAGATCAGCTGGGTGCCCTGGGCAGAGAGAGATCAGTCAGAAACAGAGGACTGCAGACATGATCAGGAAGTGCAGAGTGAGGGAAAAGGAGACAATGGGAGCAACTGGGTGGGTGGTGCTCTTACTGTGTGGTCAGTGAGTGGGGGCAGGACGATCACCCGTTCCATGGTATTCATCACCACCCTCCAGAGCTCCTTCAGGACTCGCTTCAGAACAGTCTTCTCACACACAGCAGCAAAAAGCGTGAGGCTACAGATGCAGTCAACAGGTGAGTCTAGGGAAAGGTCTGCAGTGCCTGCTCCCACTGAGGCTCCTCTGTCTGATGGCCTCAGCTTGCCTTTTCCTCTCAGAGTACTATACTCACTTGCCATCCAGGAAATCCATGAGAGGTCGCAGCACACTGTCTGCATCCTGAGCCACCGAGGTCCTGGCATTGGGGGATGCATTCCCTGTGCCCCGAACTTGGCCCAGGATGTCAGCCATTTGTCGAACGCATTCATCAATCCGCACCTGGAAGCTACACATGGGCCCACAGTAGAGCCCTCCCTGTCTCCACATTGATACTGGAGCAACAGGAGAAATTTAAACTCTTTAGGCTGCATCTCCATGAGGGACAATAAGCAGGCATATCTAAAGACATGCTACCCATGGGGATGGGTAGCAGCTCTAGGAAAGGCCAGGAACTACATCTGGTTCTAAAGGCCATGTAATTTGGGGGCCACTGACCTGTTTCCAAACACCATGCTGAGCTCATCCAGAACTGTATTCAGTTTCACCTGCAGCTCCTTCAGACTGTCTGCAGCTTCAGAGTCCAGCTGTATCCACAGGGATGACCAGGTCAGGCTGCTTCTTCTTACTTCTTTATATACCATTATTTCCCTTCTTAGGGCTAAGTCCCCAACACCCCCTTCTCCATCCTAGAACCATATCTCAGTGCTCTCTCCTCCTTCCTAAGACTATATCTCAATGTTTACTCCTCTCTCCTAGGCTAATATCCCAAATTTCTCCACCTTCCTAGGACCACCCTCCCCAAGCCCAATTGTTCTTCTTAAAAACATATGCCAATGGCTAATTCTCCTTCCTAGGACCATACCTCAAATGTCTGGTTCTCTCTCATGTATGCTTGTTCCTCTGGGTTAGTACCATATCCCAGTGGCCACGTTAGCTTTCTAGGATTTTACCAGAATGCCTACCTCAAGTGAAGCCATTTTAAGTCTGAAAGCTAAACACCTAGCCGTAATTGAGAGAGGGTAGAGTTCTATGGCAAGGCAACTCAGCCCAGGCAAAACACAGTAACCATATGCCCTCAGACTTACCTCTTGGCCTCCCATGGCCTCAAACATCTTCTCCAGCTGGACCCTCAGTTGCTGCATGTTGTTCATCAAGATGCAGGGCTTTGGGGACAGACAGATCCCTTCAGTCTTAGCTCCTTTCAGCACAACACCCATTAGTATAGGGTCCCTCATTTTTTAACTATTCCAAGGCTACAGGGACTGCACACTGCATAGATCTCACCCTAAAGACTTAGATATGGAGCCAATTCAAATGACTCTCTTTAAACAAAGTCTAGCAGCAAACATTTTTGCCTAAATTTAAGCTAGGTGGTAGTTATACAAGGGTGCATGATACTACTCTTTAGAACTCTGTGAATTTCTATATTTTATTTTAAAAAAAGACTAAGTAAATACTTAGTGGAGGGAAAAAAAATCACAAAATGGAGGCTCAGAGGTAATGTCTCATTATCTTGTGTCATGAGCCTCAAACAAAGCATGAAGGGAGCCACAAGTCAAGAACACTGAGGCCCATTCAAATGTCCCACTCCCTTCCTCTCAGTGCCCAGTGCCTGGCCCTACCAGTTTCTCCTTTGAGCAGTAAGCTGGGAAGTTCTTTGATAAGATGTCTGCATACTGCATCAGCACTTTCCCGATGGTCTGAGAAAAGAGAAGAAAACCTTTCACGTCACCACAAGGGCCCTGCCTGACATCCCATTTCGCATCCCAGCACCATAACAGCGGGAGCTGGCTATAGTGGTGCACACATATAGTCCCAGCACTCATGAGGCACATGCTTGGACTGCTTCAGGTTCAAAGCCAACCTGGGCTACATAATGGGTTCTAGGCCAGCCAGGGCTATATAGCAAGACCAGGTCTCAAATATACGAAACAAAACAAACCCCCAAAATATCAAGAAAGCAAAGGACTCTCACAGAAAGAAGCAGTGCTCCTTCTCAACTGCAGAACAGAACTGAAACCTTATCTGTCTGCTTGAGACATAGCAAAGGGGAAGCAGGTAATGTAAGGCTTTGCCTGAAGTCCACCGTGGAAGAGGGTGGAACTCAGGCCTATGAGTAGGTATGAGTGTGAAGGGGCAAGGGTCCAGGAGATCCACTGTTACCTTCGCAAACCTTCTCATATAGTGGGCAAGGATGGTGGGGTCCGGGCATTCCAACTTCCGGATGATCTCAAAGCTCTGGTTGAGTTGTGTAAAGACGTCCACCACAGAACAGGAAAAGAGTGCATGCTCAGATGTCTGCTGGAACTAAGTAAGAACACACATGAAGTAACCATTTGTAGCCTTGGGCTTTGAAAGAGCTCTGTTTAGCAGGGGTGGTTCTATGCTCTCCATAGCTTTCCTGCAGATTCTATAGGACAGGGCAGATCAGCAGAGCAGAAGCCCAAAGCTTGCAGCTAATAGCTGAATGCTGAGACCTGGGCTGACCACAGTATAGTCAAAGTCCCCGACTTACCCCATCCTTCTTATCTCGTTCCAGGGCCCCATGCAGGAACTCCAAGGACACATCTTCATTCTCATGTAGCCACTGCAGCACAAACTGCTCAAACCACCTATAGTCAGGACAGGAGATCCAAAAACTGAAGGTAACTGGTATATACTGGTATATACCTGACAGCTCCTCTAGATGATGAACTCTTCTCGAGGGCAGGGTATCACAACTTCTCTTTCTACAGCAGACTGCACCAGGCAATCTGAGCCTAGCCTACGGAACTCCTTACCCACTCAGAGGCTGCCCTCTTCTTTGCCCAGACTCACGTGGGGTACTCAGGCGCCTGCCCCTGGAGCGCAGGCAGGTCCCGCACATACTCATTGTACAGCCACTTCACCTTGAAGTGCAGGTTCATGTAGTCGGCGCTCTGGCACAGCCGGTCTTTCTCATGTTCTAGTGAGGAGAGGAAGCTGGATCAAGCTTCAGCAAGAGCCATGGTTGCTGCATGTCCTAAGGCAGTAGACAGATGGCTCTGCCAGAGAGCTTAGAAGACAGGGGACTGGCGAGTCCTTCTGACATCCTGATGTCTACCTTCACACCCACACTGAGTAGTGCCCTACTCAGCCATCCTCCGAGAGCCTGGACCAAACCTTGGCTTACAGAGGCTAAGCTAAGGAAAGTCTAGAGTCTTCACGCTCTAACTTTTACAAGTACAAAGTAAGAACTCTGGTCTCTGCTGAAGAAAAGAAAGTGTGCTAATGATAATTAGTGAGTCTGCCAGGGACTAGAAGGTGCTGGTGGGAAGGAAAGACAAGTGTTGTTTATTTTCAATCTTAGTAACTGATCTATCCTATCCTAAATGAAGAGATATGAAGTTGTACACGGCATGAATATGTTAATGGAAACCACCAGAGATAGAGAAAACCAAACACAAAGACAGCGACACAGCCATATGATAAAACCTTACAGTAAAGTGAAGAGCTCCCAAGAAGAGCTGAAACACAGAAAATGAGCTCTCATGGAAATATGCAAATAAGGATCATTAGTTTGAAAACTATGCAAACACAGAACAGGCCACCATGCTGAAGCAAATAGGACTACTACTATGGAGTTGATGGGTTAGCTAGCTGAATCACAATCTAGGGTGAAGCTCGCTCACGGCTGACCCTGAGTTTAGGGTAATGCCCACACAGTATCTTCATACCTACCCTTTAGAGCTGAAGTATTAATTTGGATAATAAAAGTCAATGTGTGTTAATATAAAGGTTACAAAGAAGGAGAAACTAAGAGAGAAAAAGCTGCTGGCATCCTTGGAGATGTCATTGCTTATCTTCGAGATAGCTAAGTATTGTTCCTCCAAGACAAAGAAGAACATGTAGTCTGGGGATACTGGCTCTAGTGACTAGTGCAGCAGACACTCATCATGGACAGGGAAGCCTGGGCTTCCTAGACTTTCACCTTCTGGTACTGTAGGACCACTGTAACCCAAAATTGCATTTGCCATCTCTTCTAGGAAGCAGGGAGCAGGAGAAGGAAGCATATAAGACTAGAGGCAAATGGGACAACCAAAAGTTCTTACCACCAGCAAAGACGACTTTTCGAATACGAATGATAGCAGTTGCTGTGACACAGCAAAGACACCAATGAGCAACAAAGAGTAGGAAAACCGAGACAGCCATGATCCTCTTTTCTACCCAATTCCCTGACGCTCTTGAACCAGCCCCAGACCTTGAAACAGCGACAGCACAGGGTGCACCCTCCCCCTCATGCTTGGTCAAGGACACAGTGGAAATGGGGGCAGGGCTTCCCGGTAACTCCTAAACATTTCTTTTGTTTCAGGACCTTTGAGTTACTGTTTTTGAATATAACTCTTACATCCTCTGACAATCCATTATGTGTTCTCTGGGCCTCAATTTCCATGTCAAACATTAACTTCAGTACAAACACACTAAATAGGTGAGTGTTCAAACACTGGGTAAACTTTTTTCTAAAAAGATCCAAAAAATTAATGTCCAGCAAGGCTGCATGAGGGCACTGGGGAGATAGCTCAGTTGGTAAATTGCTTGACTCATTAGCATGAGGACCTAAGTTCAGATTCCAGAACCTACATAAGAAGCTGGGCACGGTAGCAAGTTGGGAGGTGGAGACAGGTAGATTCCTGAAAGCTCATGGGCCTGCCAGACAACTTAGTGAAGCTGCAAGCCAAGGAAAGACTCTGTCTCAAACAAAACATGCCTTGGCATCTAAGGACTAAATCTGGATATTGTATGCAAATTGCATGAGATTGCTGTTACTTGTAGGATGGGGTTAACCTGTCAGAAGGGGTAATGATGTTTCCATAACCTGTTCTTGGCTTGGGTTTTAACATTTTTATTTATTTATTCTCTTATGTATTGTGTATGTGTGTATCCACACATGGATGTCAGAGGACAACCTTAGAAGTTAGTTCATATGTTCCAGCTTGTTGAGGCAGTGTTTCTCTGATATTTCAGGTGAGGTACAGAAACTCCAGGCTAGCCAGCCTGCTGTACCTGCCACTCGCTGCCCCTCTAAACAGGGTCTCTCTCTATAGCCCTGGTTGGCTTGGTACTTGCTGTGTAGATCAGGCTGGCCTCAAGCTTAGAGAGACTGGTCCTCTTGCCTCTGCTTCCTAAATGCTGGGTTAAAGCATGTGCTACCTTGTTTGGCCCGCATCCAGCTTTTTACATGGGTTCTGGAAGTGGCATCATCAGAATTGTGCGGGCAGAGCTTTTGTACCCACTGAGCCATCTCCCTGGCCCTGTTTTCTTTCTTCCATCTTTCATTCCTAAAGGGCTCTTTCAACCTCATGATCTCTCCTACATCTCTAACTCTGGTAATGTCTGTAAAGATTCTAAGGGAATAGTGTACCTAAGTTTAACTTGTGTCCTTCCACCTCTTGCCATCTTATCACCTCCAAAGTGAAGTTGAACAGAATATGCCAACTAATCTTACAATATTATTCAAAGGTAAATGCCCTAAAATATGTCTTCTTTCTGTCTACTTGAACGCAAATAAATCAGCAGCTTTCACAGGACAACATTATGGTGGTAGAGGCCTGTGATCCCAGATACTCAGAAGGATTGCAAATTCAAGGCCTGATAGGATACTTGTCTAACATGCACAAGGCCCTTGGTTTTATCTTCAGTACCGTCCCTACTCCATCTCCCAAAATCATCAGTGCCTAACCATTTTACCTACAAACTGCCTCTATTTATTTCCTTCTAGTTACACTATTACCTGCCTAGGTATCTTTTTTTTGTTTGTTGCTCAAGACAGGGTTTCTCTGTGTAGTCCTAGCGGTCATGGACTCACTTTGCAGACCAGGCTGGCCTTGAGCTCACAGAGATCCACCTGCTGCTGCCTCCCTGAGTGCTGGGATCACAGGGATGTGCCAACACAGCCGGCTCTGCCTAGGTATCATTACCATTGTTTTTAACCTGAACTGGACCACAAGGTGGTCATCAGACGGCCATTCTCCTCCAATTTACTCTTCATAGGATACTAAGAGTGAGCTCGCGGCCTTTCGCTATGATAAATCTGATCATGTCAGCCTCATGCTTAGGGTGTGAGTGACTCCCACCTGCCTCAAGAGTGAGTCTGGAGGCCTCCACATGGCACACGTTGTCCCTTATGATCTAGGCCCATCTTTACCTTTCCAGCCTTATCGCTCATTGACTACTTTTCTTGTCTTGTCCTCTGCAGTGTAAGAAATTGTGAACTGCTGCTTTGCTTCCATTTCTCAAAGCAAAACATATGCTGTGTCCTCTGCACAAGTGTTCTATGCTTCCTTTGCTGTCATTACTATCATCTCTCCTCACTAACAATGTCTTCTTGTACTTTGGCTTTTTGCATTGTACATTTTTGGTATTGCAAACCTGGTTACATGGTTCTCTTTTATGATTTCAGCACCCTATATTCATTCTTTTTGTGATATTTAGAACTTTGTATTGTAACCACCAGTTTATAAATCTTTTTTCTAGACTGTCCTATGAGCTTCTCAAGAGTCGATGCTCTGCCTTACTCATCTTAGCAAGTCCTCAACAAATAACATAGTGCCTGGCACAAAGAAATGCTCAATAAATGGCAAATGGGGCTGGGATTTACTGCAACGGAGCAGAACAGAATCTTACATTTCATATTTTAAGCGGGAGGGTAGTTACACAGTAATTACAATTTAGTGTTTGTCAATCACTAAATTGCCCAGTAATGGCCTGGAACTCAACAGGCATCCTAGGCTGGCCTTGAACTTGCCATCTTCGTGGTAGAGCCTCTTCTCTGCCATGCCTAGTGAAGGGCAGTATTTTCAACTTCCCTTCTATAATCAGGATCAATGCTGTGTTCTTATCATCTAAGTCCCCAGCCTCTTTCTCTAAACTTGCCCTTCACATTCTGAGAATCCGCAGTTCCTGTTATCTAACATCTATTAAGACCCATTCTTCCATTTCCATTTCTCTGCTATAATCCCAGCCTCTCCCTTATTCCTACAAACTATTAGTACAACCACCTTTCACTATGTGCACCCCCCTTCTCTTTGCTACCCCTATCAACCATGGAGTTGAATTTTTAAATCTCCACACATGTGTTACATAGATTAATGGTCCCTTCTTGTTCCTAATGGTTCAGCTTTCCTCTGAGCTGAATAATTGCCTGGGCATTTGCTACCTCTGTACTTCTGTACTTCAGCCAGCTTACCAGATCAGGAAGCAGATGCCCCTGCTATTCCTACTTACAGATGAGAAAAATAGGAACTCACTTAAATAGGAAATTTAAGCAGCTGAAAAATCAAGCCGACTTTGCTTGCACGAGGTAAAGGGCCTGAAGCCTAGCAAGCAGGTTTCCCTTTAACTCATAAAATATCCTGAATAACTCCACCTGTTACATTACCCATCTGTGAGTTGTTCACTTTTCAGAGGTATTTCCTTCCCCTGTTAAGCTCACCATAGATGCTCTTCCCATCAGGCTTGGTGGGTGCTGTCTCGCTGAGGTAATGATGTCAGGTAAAACCTATATAAACTTTTCAACCAATGTGTGCACTACAGCCCCGGAAAGATAAACCCACTGTCAGCATGACTCAGTCTCTGCTCTGGGGATGAATTACACATCTAAGTCACACATGTGGTCTGGCTCTAACAAGTTAGCACAGACCTTCAAAGTGTCTTTCAACCTGAAGAGTCCCTGATTCTAAACCTCACATGCCCCAGAGTCTGAGAATGATCTGTGCAAGCGAAGTGCAAACTCTGCCCTAAGCTTGTCCCAGATGGCTCCTTTTCCTTCTAGATCCACTTTCACAGACTGAGGAGCTACTAACAGATACAGCAGCCAGCCAAACTGGTGAGCACGGATGAGCACAGATCAGAGTTTGACACAGACAGAAAGTGGTATCTTTGTGAAGGTGAAAAATGGAGAAAAGAATGAGCTGAATGAACAGAGTGAATAGTAACTTATCTGTGGCTTTGCCTTACAGGTGAGGGAAGTAGCTTTCTGAGCAGGTTTCAAAAAAGTCAGGCCAGTAAGTTTAAGAAAATAATGACTTCTCTGTATATTTAAGCTTCTCTTGCCCTTCAAAACTGGCGTAAGTCCAATAAGACCATCCTCTAGGAAGCAAGCCACCATTCTGAAAACATTCACCACGGGTGAAGCTGCTCTCTGTGCTGGAAAGGTCCTGCATAGTCGCTTGTTACAAAGCTGGAAGGAGAAACCTCCATCTGCATGCCCACTTTCCTTCTTTCTTTTGGCTGCAGCTTTGTCCATCCACTGCCTTCCATAGCTTACTGCCACCATGGCTAGAAGCCCTCTTGTTTCTTACTACACTCTTTACCCAGAACTTGAAGTTGTCTAGGAAAGGAAAGAGGCAGCTTCTGAGGTAGATGGAGCCCGGCAGACCCTTACCCTCCAATGCATACTTCATGTCTTGTGCAAACAGATTCCACATCACTTCTGCACTGACTTTCCCTACATTCAACTCCTGAGGAAACCTGAGGGATGGAAAAAAACACAGTAAACATCCAGGCAAGAGCTATTTTATTTTATTTATCCCAAGGTTCCTAGTTCTAACAAGACATAATGAAGAGAAGAAAGTCCTAGGCCACAGAACTAGGCTTAGTTTGGAGAAATGGGGCCCAGGGACCCATGGTAGGATAAGAGGGAGAGGGGCCATATTAGCTATGATGAGCCCAGTAAGAATGTAGTAAGAGTTCCCAGAAGCTAAGAAAAGATAAGGCATTGGATCCCTGAGGAGGGCTGAGGCTGAGGGGAGGGCCCAGGATAGATAAGCTGCAGGAGAAAGAGGAGGGGGTAAGGCCTTAAGAAGGCCAGCTTTCATGAACTCTATGGCTAGTTCTTTGACCTCCCCAGCCCCCCATGGGAGGAGCAGCCTAGCTAGACCACAGAGGACATTGCAGCCAGCCCTGCTGAGACCTGATAAGCTACGGTCAGATGGAAGGGGAGGAGGACCTCCCCTACAAGTGAACTTAGAGAGGGGCAAGGAGGAGATGAGGGAGGGGGCTACAGCTGGGACACGAAGTAAATAAACTGTAATTAATATAAAAAATGAAAAAATTATATTAAAAAAAAGAAAGTCAGCTTTATGTGGACAGGCACATGCACACACAGGCTCTGCACCCCTGGGGCTCCCCTAACCCTGCAGTCCCAGAAGCCTTTCTCTCTGAGGAGGCTATCCCATTCTGGATAGGGGCCCCTTATATTGCCACACCTGACTCCAGAAACAGTTACCCAGACAGATACAAGGGACAGAGGGACAGATGGACGGACAGTTGGAAGAAGTGGCACTGCAAACATACAGAGATAGAAAGAAAGAGGCTGTTAGACAGATGGACAGAGCAATCAACAACCAGACAGAGCCAAGTAGGGTGATACTCACTGGTTCAGAACAGGTGTGTAGGAATTCTTATCCTCTTCTATGATTGACACAATGAGTGTAATAAGTTTGGGCCAGAAATCCAAGTTCCGAATGCTGGGCCCTGGTTCCTCTAGTGGTTGTTCCTGCTTCTTGTTGGGTGGTGGAGGGGTGGGCAAGGGAGACGAGAAGAAAGGGAGATAGTCATAACAGCATTGAAAAGCTTTCTTTCCTTTTCCCTTCACCATGCCTATTACTCAGGGACACTTCCTCTCTGGGACATGTCTTCCAAATGGCTGCCTCTGTTCCATAAGAGAGAAACCCTTCAATCATTGAGAATTGCTGTCCTCCACTCCGGGGTACTGCTCTGGTAAGCTTAGACAGTCAGAGACATGTAAAGACACCTGTATTCCCTCTCTTAGTTACTATGGACATGTGACGCTGGGTGAAAAGAACTTCTTCCAGCCTCATTAACGTGGGTCTGGTTCTGTAAGGTCCACCCACGCCCAGGCAACTCCCCTCTTCCAGATGTCCTTCTTCAGACCCACATTTCACCCAGCACACAGCAATATCCCATCTCTGAGATGCTCCTTCAAGTTCAGGACAGAGCCTACATGCAGTATGACCTAACTCTCAGTGGAACAGGAGTAGACAAAGGAATACGACAAAGGATCTCAGGAAGAGCAGAGTCCCTCACATCCAGACCCCAGGCAAAGACAAACTGTGATCACTACAGAGACTGGACAGGACATTCTCTCTCACAGGAACAAAGGCAACGGTGGAGCTGCCCAGGACAGGGATGAAACTTTTCTGTGGACACTATATGTCGCTGCATTCTCCAAAATACCCTAATGAGCCTGCAATAACAAGAAATCAGCAGAAACCAGGACTGAACCTACATGCTCTTGAGTCGACCTCAGTATCGCTCACATGCATCTTTTTCTTTTAGTTTTCTGCCACTATCCCAGCAAAGACTCATTCAAAAGACACCCCTTGGCCTTTGAACTCCAGTCCACTACATCCTCCAGTAAGCTGCCAGCTATTGCTCTATAAGGAAATCTCAGCATCTGACATTTCTGCTTACAGCTCTTCCCTGGCCGGCAGTTAAGTTAGACTACCTCCCCAGACACATCTTCAAAATGTTCCCTTCTCTATCCATTCATGCCTTCCCAACTCTCTTGTGTTGTACTGCATCATGGCCACCACTGATTGTGGTGCCTGGAAGGGTGCTAAAAGCTTTGTATACACTACCTCATTTCATCTTCTTGCTGATTATTGAGTACACATTATTAGTTTCTCATTTTTGGATGAGGAGACTGAAACACAGTGAGGTTCTATGACTTGCCCACTATCACAGAGCTACAATTTGATCCCACAATAGATGAACTCCAGAGTCTGAAGTTATAAACACCTGAATGAAACTGCCCATGATTTCTTAAACTAACATGCTCATGCACAATTCTGTGCCTCAAATACTTTATCCCCCCCTTCTTTCCTTCAGCTCCTTTGTTGATATCAGTTCTACTCCTTCTTCAAAATCCAGGTTGACCTTTACTTCCACAAAGTTGTTTCTGACACTCTTGGCTTGGTTAGATGCCCCCTCCCTGGGCTTCAAGAACACAGTCTATGAATTTCTGGCATCTAATACTATGATAAAATAACATTATTTTATCATATATCATCAAAAGAATGATAAATGCAGTAACTTGCCCTCATTTCTACCAAACAATAATTTTCCCCAAGGCAGAAATGTGTTTTATTTGGCTTTACATTCTTTTTTTAAATATTTATTTGTTGGTTGGTTGGTTGGTTGGTTGGTTGGTTGGTTGGTTGGTTGGTTTATACAGCATTCTGCCTGCACATGTGCCTGCACACCAGAAGAGGGCACCAGATCTCACAATAGATGGTTGTGAGCCACCATGTGGTTGCTGAGAAATAAACTCAGGACCTTTGGAAGAGCAGACAGTGCTCTTAACCTCTCAGCCATCTCTCCAGCCCCCTTGGCTTTACATTCTAATACTTCATTTGTTAAGTGAATGGGTGGATAAATGACCCTATGACTACAGACTAGTAGATGGAAATATTAAAACAAACATAAAACTCCAAGGGCTTACTGGAGGGTATACATTGCCTCATGGGAAGCAGAAAGCAGACAGTAAAAGAAAAAGGCTAAAGCCAAGTCTCTGAAGCATTTGAGGCCTTTTTCAGAGTCTAGTTCATTATTATGCTGGGGCAGAGAGATCAAATATTGAACTGTCTACATGGTTTAAAGATCAAAGCTGAGAACAGCATCTTTCCCTAGCCAAAGAGAATCCATACATGAATGACAGAAGAGCCCAGAATTAACCAAGTTAAACAAAGGCTCTGGAAAGGCCTCCCATGGACATGAGAACCAGTGGAAGGATTTATAAAACCATTAAAGGGGGTAAGCATTAGATACATGGCTGGCATAAAAAGAACATTTAGGATGAAAGAAGGAAGAATGACAAGAGATCTTAGAACAGTGGCTCTCAACCTTCCCACAGTTTAACAGTTAAACTTCCCTTTAACACAGTTCCTCATGTGTGGTAACCCCAACCATAACATTAATTTTCTTACTACTTCATAACTGTAATTTTACTACTATGTGAATTGTAATGTAAACACATGTTTTCTAATGATCTTAGGCTGCCCCATGAAAGAGTTGTTAACTTCCAAAGGGGTCACAACCCACAGGTTGAGAAGCATTGTCTTAGATCTGTACTAAGGTCCTCCACAGAAGCATTATAGATTGGATATATTGACTATAAGATGGATGTTCAATAGATTTCAAGATCTATCTCCCTTTTTATATGTAGTTTTTCCATTGTCGAATCAAGACTGAATTCTTCCTCCTTGGAATCCCTTCAGTCTTATCCCTTTCTCAAAACACTTCTTAAGGAACACACTGACTATAAATGCATACTTTTGAAACTGGGGAGTTCTTCAGGGAGCACTTAACCTGGCTCAGGACATTTTATATACATATGCATGCATACATATATACACACATGCATCTATACACACACACACACACACACATACATACGTATACACATGTGTACACTTGTTGTACTGTGTGTTTGTGTTTATTGCACCGAAGGAAAGTGAATTGCAAAAGCACAGTTAACAAGACATTCTTTAGACACGAGTTGTAATTGAGGTTATTTGAACTACAATGAAGTCCTGGCTTTTAAGTGGGTGTCAGAGAAGAGGTATAGTTGGAAGTATCTAGAAAGAGTGGCTCAGCAGGTAAAGGCACCTGTCACCAAGTCTCATGACCTGAGTTCAATCCCTGGGACTAACATGGTAGAAAGAAAGAACCAATTCCTAAAAGTATCCCTCTGACTTCCGTGTGTGTGTGTGTGTGTGTGTGTGTGTGTGTGTGTGTGTGTGTGTGT